AGGACTAACAAAGCCTACAATGTTGAGGCAGACCTTGTAGTGGGAGAGTTGGCGTCGAACTATTCTGTCAAAGCACGTTACCGATGCACGCTCGTTCTGAATCGGTAGCAGGGTAGGACAAGCTTCAAGGTTGAGTAGAATGTTGACTGAAGGCAGTGCAGATGGAGTCGCGTCGATGCCCATAGCATTCTGCTGTCCAGCTAGAATCAAGCCCGATCTCGAGATCCAGGCACCAATGCAATCCCTATCGTTTCCTGAAAGACGTCCGAAATTACGGATTCTTTTTCGAATCCCTGACTTTGTATCTTCATTCAGGGCTTTCGCAGAACGCATCAAATGCATTTCCAAAAGCTAGGGTTATCAGCCAAGGTCATTGTCAAGAAAAAGCTGATTCGTCTAGCACACCTTGGTCTCGCAAACGTAGCAGAGCACCCGCAGGAGTTCCTGTAGTGCAACCAAGCCTCCAAGTGTCGTCGCGCAAACGAGTTTTACGCCTCCATTCTGGACCCATTCACGCATGGCTTTGTTGACGAGCGGAAGAGCTTCTTGGTAAACCTCATGACATGTCCTGAGGATAGTGGTTGATACGGAGTGCGAGATCAGCGTGACTCGTCCTTCGCGAGAGTAATTGTTGATCGTCGTATGTTTAGTCGAGCGCGGCAGGCGTTCATACACCATCAAACGAACATCCTTTGGGAAATCAAGGAAACGGAAAGGTTCCGGGTTTGACGCGCATGAGGTCAACGCCATGTTGACTATGGGCTGGAGTTGCGGCTGCCGGCGAGTATTACGAAAGGCAGTGGGTGAGGTCGTGACCGCAATCAGGAAACCGCTCGAGCCATGTTTGCGCTCACTAGCGCCATTGTGGTGCCTAAAGCACGGGCGACAGGCACGTGGGCGTACGCTTTCGGTGTTACAAGCGCTTAGCCTACGACTGTACACGACCAGCTTTCGCTTTCCATCGAACCATCGGCATGCATCGACCAAATCAAGCCCAAACCGCTACTGCTATCAACGCTATGAGCATGACTACGCCAGCGCCCTTCCTGTTCCTCAGTCTCCCTAAAGAACTCCGACTCATGGTCTACGAGCGCCTACCACGGCAGATCAAGCACCACCACGTCATCGAACCCTCCAGCTCGAAAGGCTGTCTTGTTCTCATCACGAGGTGTCTTCCGGTCGCAATACTTGCAACCTGTAAACAGGTCAACGCGGAAGCGAGCGCAATCGTGCACAAGATCCAAAGAGACTTCATTCTGAGTGAAGGAGCCAGATTCATCGGTAACCGCCAACTCGTCCGTCACAAGAAATTCCCAATGCTACTCCACGATTTGGTGTATATTTGGTACACTCAGCAAAGACTGGAATCACTGGGGGCTCTTGTGCGCGATAATCTCCGGTGCCATCTTGGATACTGCTCGACTGAGTCGGGCATTCACACAATGGTCACAAGGTTTAACGCTCAGACGCGGCAGCAAATAGCTTACACCAAGGATACCTCAGAACCCTACGCACAAGTACCACTACGATTCATACTGGTGGATGACTTGGGAAGTACAAGAAGTTTGAGGAAGAAGGCGAAGAGTTGTGCTAGGATTTGTCGTAGACTTAGTCGGCTCTGCACTTTCGACAACATCCTGGCGATCTATTGCGACGGCCTTCTACCAGCGGACTCGTATACCACTTCAGGCTTTGACCGAGACTCCATTCCCACGCTGATAGATCTGAAGTATTGGGATAAAAACAGCGTCGACGTCAGGGAGCTTCCACTCGTGCAAAGCGATTGGCAAAATAGTTGGATGGAATGATCCGCTCCTTAATTTATTTAGATGAAGTGACGTGTTGGAGTAGAAGAAAACCTATGAGGGGATCAATCCCTGTTCAATTGTTGCTCTGCTATCGTTACCTATCAGTGTCGGCTCGGCGTGTGTATCAGAACCCGGGAGAGTTATCTGATTCTCTTTTTAATTATGCCTCGCTTCTAAAGAGCGAACTGAAAGGCCAAAGGAAAGGTTGTAGCATAGTTCCAAGCGCTCGCGGATAAGCACAAATGCACTGTTAGTCGGCTTGCCCTGGCCTGGCTACTGAAGCAGGGCGACGATGTTATTCCCATATCAGGTAAGGAAGCGCATCGAGTGTCTCGAGCAGAAATGGGCGAGCATGAATCAAGCTGAGCGACGAGGACGAAAGGTGAATTCGCGCGTTTGCCAACGATGCGGAGGTGAAGGGGACGACGCAGCCGGCTCAGTTCTCCGGCTATTTGTATTGCGATACTGTGGGACAGTAGATAACCGGACTTACGTCCATGTGGCGCTTTGATATTCCAGATAGCTATATAGTATGACTTCTAATCTACGCCTACGTATATCTATCATAAACAATGGCAATGGCTCTGGCACTGGCACAATGATAGAAGATGATATGCTCTAGCTAACGACGCGTATCGGCAAAATGAACACTTCAACAAATTGTTGTCTGTCGCGTATGGGTAGTATAACATTGATTGGAGAGTACATCAAGACGACCTCGGCGCATACATGATCATCCAGGACAGATTTCATCATCACTGACCATATCACACCATCATAGCACCGTGCATGTCCTCGCGAACAGCACTCATCCGCCTGCTACGCGCTTTGTCAGGTGTCTGCATACCGTCGGAGTACTGCTCTCCACTCCATCGATGACGATTGAAAAGCGGTGGAAGCAGGAAGTTTTGTAGTGAGCGAACGCGAACATGCGTACCATCCGCGTGGTATGATGACGGCGCGCGAGATGAGGAAACTCGAATTGGCATCGCAGCTCCGAACGGCGAAGTTGGAATGAATGAGTAGCGGAAGGACGGGTGTCGGAAGGTATTTGGCTCTGCTTCGAACAGTTTGTCATCGTTGTGAGCCGGTGGGATATGTCGCGTTGTGAAGGTTGCGTTTGTAGAAGGATGTTCCAGGCTGTCTTCCTTCTCGCGATTTCTGTCGATTGATTAGTGGAGTTCTCGGTTAGTGTTTGGAGACACTGACTTGCATATCTCGCAAGGGCGTGACGTGGTCTTCATTCTGAACGGGTACATTTCCAATGTAGCCATGACACCAATGCAAGTCAGTGCCATCATGATACCGGGATGGAGTCCGTAGAACCAAAACTCGAGCCAGGAATGCTTGTCGAAGGTCTTCATTGTGATAATATGTGAGAGCGTAGTTTGAGGCTCTAGATGTGTACTGCCAAAATGGTGCAATTGAAGTTGCCGCTATGATTGTAAACCGCCGAGCTGATATCGCGGCGAGCTTGTGGGTCACTTTAACTCCCGCGAGACTACAACCAACAGTTCGGCGACCTGTCCATCCCGCAAGGCTCTTGCCGTCCCACGCGACGGGGATTCATCACAATACGGGGCCTTTATGCGAGGCTGAGGCAGTGTTTCGTTGCTACTTTGGGACTGAGCTGGTCTCCCGGCGTCGCTGTATGCCGTGATAGGCTGGATATTACGGTGACTTGGTTCTTGATTCGTGGGTGATTAGGAATCGGATTGATCATCCTGATCCAACTGTTCCGGTTGGCAAGGTCGGTGACGGGGTTCGAAGGCTTTGAAACACCACCAGAATCCGTCGTGGGGTGCTACACTTCGGACACTCCGATAACAGGCCGTACGAGTTCGCCCGAGCAATGGGTATCAGTTGCATTCCGCGATGTAATGAGTTGTAGAAGTCTGAGCTGTGATCTCAAGCTTGGCGAGAGAAAGGTTCGTGATGTCTCAGACGAAGGCTGTTGTTGAAAACCTCTTCCCATTTCCTGACACTCGTACAAAGCCCGCAAAGAGACTCTGGAACACAACGAACTTACCGAACAAAGCCACCAGAGCGCTACGATCTCGTTTGAGATTGAGTTGGGATGAAAGCAAAGCACGATGATCTGATCCGAACCTGTACTTGGTTCATTCTTGTCCGCGAATGATGACATCCCGAAGATATGTGATACTGTAGAGCACGCAGCCCTGATCTCAGACGCAGTGGTCATTGTCATGCGGTGGACGATGTGCCATCCAATGGCATTCCAAGTTGCGTCGGGCGTAGGGCGTCCTGGGGGTGTTGAGTTGGGCTCAACAGGCATCCATGGATTTAGGTGTATCGCGGGCGGACCGCACCTTCGCTTGCATTCAGCAGCCGATATCGATGATTAGAAAACATAGCACATGTGAACTGATGTCGTTAAGATTGTAGGCAGCCTCGAAAGTCATGAACAAAAGTCATGAGCGATGGCCCAAACGACGATGAAAGTATGCACCGCGCATTGGCCAGCCAATCAAACTCTGCTGCCCAAGACATGCCGTCTTCCGCGGTTTTGACATGTAACTTAGCTGCGTACGTACTTCGTAATCCAGGACGCGCTGCTAAAGAGTCGAGGCTGCCCTGTGTCGACGTGAAAGATTGTGATGTGACATCCAGAACCACAGGCGATCGATGTGGGTCAACGTGGGGCAGTTCCGTTCCGGGTTAGTACCAACACCTGCGGCGGTTGTACCCGTCCCTCCTGCATTCTTCATCTCCTTTCACACTGCACCATCGGCGCTGTCGATAATAATGCAACAACCTTTTATCCCGTCACATTCGCAATTTCGCGCTTCGACTGTAATCGATGATCGCAATACCTGACTAATTGGAACTTGCTACTGCATCGCTCGATCACTTGGCGATGGCCCATTCCTGGCTACTTGTACGCGTTATGCGACTCGGTAAAACACCAGTCTTGTCGCGCATTGGAGACACATGTGTTTGTACGATTGAAAGTATTATAATTATGTACCCCATCTCGTATAACAGTCTATCCGCGCTGACCCGGAACTCCAGCCTTCGCAAATAGATAGACCGAGTCGCAAAGTACCGCTGTAGCGCTTACTGCGATCATGCTACACCCATCTTGTCTTCAAGCCACCAAGCACACTCAAGCTGCGCAAGCCGTATCAAGCTGAAAACACCCAAAGAAATCCAGTCTGCACAAGCCTCCATCTATATTTTCGTGCAGTACGCGCTATGGATCTTGTAGTCGAACGTGCCCAGATCTCCAAACACCGACGCCTGGTCCTTGCTGCCGCATTCCATCTTCTGGCCGTTGGCAGGACAGTCGTGGCCACTAGTGGAAGTTAGTTTCCAACGGTCTTTCCAAGTAAAAGGAGACTGATGGATATGACGTACGTGTAGAACTTGCAGTGGTAGCCCTTCTCGACGGTGACGCTGCGGATCTTGCCATCGAAGTTGCCAAAGATGTTGTCTATGTCGGTGCAGAAGTCGTTGGCGGGAATGGCGGTTGACCGGCCATTGAAGTTTTTGTCGGTGAATATGGTGGCCCCGCGACCGTCCGCTGCAGCCTGTGAACTGTTAGTATCATGGGTGGAAGGATGGTTTGGTGCGGTAGTCTTCGTTACGTACGGTCGGTACAGCAGCGACAACCTTGGAAGCGCGCTCAAGAGAGCTAAGACGGGGATGAAGAGCTGCATTCTGTGGGTTCTATTTGGTTGATGGTTCCTGGAAATCGAGAGATCGTCGAGACTAAGTAGAGGGTGGAAGTTGCGGGTTTATTTCGGCGGAGGCGTAGGTTCTTTAATATAGGGAGGGCGCGGGCAGAGAAGGAGCGAGGCGTGGTCATGACTGCTTATGACGCTAGCCTGTAGTTAGATGAACAGCATTCTTTGTCCCTAATGAGTGAAGCGACTGTGGCCCAAGCTTCCAAAACGAGCGAAGACTGCATTTGTCTATGCTTGTATCGTGAAAGCTAACGGTATTCTGGTGGTAGGCGCTGGGGCTAGTTGTTTATATTGCGGCGCAGGTGTTCCCGCAGTTCGGTCGGATAGCCGCATCAGGAAGTTTGTAAGATCCCTCGTCCAACTCGCACTAGATGAGGCGCGGATTTGCCCAACACAGCCGGAATAGCACGATGGCTTGTTGAAAGATTGGCGAACTCAGAATATGGATAAATGAGTGCGTTGATGATTGGGCGCCTTTTCCTGTCAGGTATACCTGTTCCATGCCTGCGCGGACGATGTCGTGAGCCATTACCGGAGGGAGTGCGTGAGCGGGACAAGGTATATTCATGCCTTAAGGACTGCTATCAGGCTCTTGCGCTATGTGAGATAAAGCGATGAAAATGTCTAATCATGATGATGCCATCGCCCAAACTTGGACAGAGTCGCGCTAACCCATCGCAACGACACACCCTCCATAACGATACATCTGCATGATATGAGCTGACAGTCATTCAATGTAAATGGTTTCTTCGTCGCCTGGGCGTGGTATCACATCGTCCTGCCCTAGAAGCCTCGAAAGCCCAGTCTTCTTTGATCGGATCAAAGGTTCTCTGTCTGTAGCGCCAATCCTCCTGTAATGGTCTCCGACAGCCTGGAGGACCATAAAAATGGGAGAATGACTAAGTCCCCAAGTGCTGTATACACCGGAAATATCATTGAAAGGTACGGCTTTGACAGTCACTGGCAAGATAGGGTCTGTGAGTTCAGTGTCGAGCCACAATTCGAGGACTAATTCGTTTCCATCACCAGTAGCATCCGTGTACTGGAAAACAACCAAAGGCCTTTTCTCTGACTCCTCTCCATGCTTCTGGAGTTTGCCGGACATCAAGGAGGCTGTATAGAACGAACCTGTAAGTCGCAGGGTGGGACCAGAGCCCTCGGGCAAAGAGTCATATCGACTCTCGATGTGGTTTCCTGAAGTCAACCAACGTCCGTCAGTTGCGAGGACTTCGGCGACGAAGCTTCGGTCATTCCTGTGGGTATCGACCTTTATACGTTTCGTACCCGTTGTTGCCACCCACGACCAACTCGGAAAATTTGTTCTTTTTTGGCCAGGATAAGGATAGTTGCTCCACTCTAAGGAGAGCTCGATATCGGAGGTAGAAGCGGAGATTCTAGCAACTATACCCCAAAAGTGAAGGTCGACAAGCTTTTCCAAAGTTCCGGTACAGGCGCTGAGGATGTCGCCCTCGAAGGACAGCTTCCTGGCCGAGTAGCTGTTCAACACGTCGGCAACACGATTTTGTGACTTGGTTTCCAGCGGGAAGCCTGGATAATAGTTTTCCATGTAAAAGTCATGGTCGTCGATGCCAGGGCGCTTTACAGACTCTTGACATACTCCACGCTCACATGAGTAGGAGACTTCGTTGTCAGTGAACACGAGTCTACGTGCTGCCAAATAGCCCTCCTGATGGGTCCAGCCTCTCTTAGCCCACACACTTTCTCTCAATGTCGAATCGTTGTCAAACATCTCGATCAATTGAACTTCTGTGTCTAGTTCGATCATTCTTTGTGCTTTACGGGGTCTTGTGGAAACACCCGGCAGTCCATAATGGGACGTACTGCCAGCTGCAGCAACAATGACCAACTCTGACTCGGCGTAGATGCGACCCATGAGCTTGATCTGGGATTGTTTGTGAGTCTCGTTTGACTGATGTACACACTAGGCTTGTATCTTAGTACAGGTCACACAAGTCATCGTTGGCGCAGCTACGTACCAGTTGATCTACCCAGAGATATCTGTAATCCAGTTTTAGTGTGACGGTGATAGCATCACGTATCGTCGCTGGAAATTCCTTCGGATCTTTTGGTGTGATTTCCACCCCACCCCATACGTAGGATAAGGCTATATAACGGAAGGCAGTATCCTCGGGTGCGGCGACGACTTTCCCAGCCTTGCAATCAAAGACTCGGAGGCCAGGAATGGATGAAAGAAAGTTAGGGTTACACTTCGTGTGATGATGGCGTTTGCAGTGTCGTAGCCAATGTCGAAGAATTTCGTAGTCTATTCGTTCTGGTGCGAGCTTACGGAGGACGTAGTGTTGAGTATTCGCACGCGCGTCTTGTAACATGTATCTCGATTGCCCCGGCTTCCTCATCACGTAGAGATATGGAGCATGGTGTGTCCAATCGTACTGGCTACGAGGAAGTGTAGAGCCGGCGTTTAAATGACACAATTTGTAGCAGGCACAAAACATTAGAACAGTTTGATCTTGGTCAAGACTCAGCAATAGACAAAGTGGACAAGTCGATGTACGTAGCTCCTGACTGGACTCAGGAACGCTGAACAATTCCAAAAAACCGAAACCCTCGCAGTAGTACGATGTCTCACTAGGTAGAAGAAGCGACCAATCTATGCCAGCGCAACGTTGGCACAGATCGCCCTGAGGATGGGCTCTCTTGTATTCGGCGTACGGGCGTCGAATCCTTTCCAGCACGGCAGCATCTCTCGCTTTCTTTTTTCTCGCTTCTCTCTCCATAAGATTGAAACTGAATTGTTCGTCAACCGGGCTGCATGCCGGGGGCAGTGTCGTGTCGTCCTGTAGTCCATCCATTCTGCTGTCGATCGTCGCGACCTCGCGCGCTTGTCGATAATCGTCCTGGGGAAATGAGCTTGAAGTGAAGAAAACAGTAAAGCAATGCGGCAAGTAAGCTGATGAGAGAGTGTCGGAGACAACGCATAGCCTGGTCTGTAGATTAGGCTGTCACGTTGCTGACAAACAGCCTTGCATGGTGGCTTGCACGCCATCATGACGAGGTGCATACTGAATACGGCTGCCACAAACGAGTGCATGTTCCGAGCAACGTGGACGAGAGCCCGGAAAAACAAGACATTGAGTACATCTGCTGTGCCATGCATTGTTATCCACTCGATTGTAAAGATTGCGTTATGTACCTAAAAACGCCATAAACACAGAGGTATCTCAGAAAGCAAGTCATAACCGAACACGTAATCATCCAATCCACACTGCACGTCTGCGTCCAGCGCGATGACAAGCCATGTATCTGCGCTACATCGTCCGCCAGAAGTAGTTCGTGTAGAAGTGCCGCGAGAACTTGGGATCGATGTTGACAACATGCACATCTCCCTTTGTCGCATTGCGCACGACAGCCTTGTTGTATTCGCCAGTTGTAGGGTCGGCTTCGACGTCGATGCCGAGTGTGCGGTAGAGTTTGAGCTTCAGTCTAGAGTCTAAATCAGCATCTGCGTCTACTCGCGCATCAAAGGGAAGAACTTACACTGTCGCATCCTCACCCGCCCTAGGTTCAACACCGCCTTCAACACCCTCCTCTTCCAATTCCCCAGCTACACCCCCTAACCGCGCGAGGTCGCTCTGCAGCCTCTCGCCCTCAATCTCCAGATCACTCGCCTGCTTTGCGATCTTGAATTTCTCCGTGTCTAGCCGTAATATCTCGGCTGCGTGATTTGTGGGGTTGTGCTGACTGAGGGTGTGGTTGTGGTTCGCGGACAGTGTTTGGTGTGTCCGGTTCAGCGCGCTGAGGGAAGATTGGATGGAGCGTAGGTGCTGAGTGCGGAATTCGCTGAGGGTGCTGAGAGACTCGTTTATGCGGTGGAGCGAGGTTTTATCGTTTGCGATTTTGAAGTGCGATGTGCATTGCGCGATGAGCTGGGTATTGTTAGGGAGATCTGTCTGTGTGTTTAATGAGAGTGCGTACGGCAGCGGGGTCTTCGTCCAGAAGCATGGTGGGTTATTGTGTGTCGCGCGAAGTTTATGTGTATAGTACGATTATTTGGAGCGCTGTGGGATGTTTGCGCAATCGTTTCGTCTGTTATCTGGTGATGTCTATCGCGACAGGGCCATGGTGTTGATGTTCTTGTTTGGATGGCCCGTGCCAAGTCGCGTGCATGGCAACCGCGACCAAGTGGCGGAAGGCGCAGGCGTAGCGTGGCGCATGGCCGGCAGCCACGAGGCGGCGGCGTACGTCACGGTAAAAGATCGCCTGCTCGGCCTGCAGCTGGAGCTTTCACGAGACAGCCCGTAGTTTGACGCTTACCACTTGCACTAACCCATCCTCACGATACCAACTTCCGCCTCCCCCAAAGACGACTTCTCAGACCTCTCTAATTTTCTTGCGCAACACAAACAGCCGCCATGCCGCCGTCATTACCATGTGAGTGGGATAACGACTTCTGGGCCGACGAACGCTCATTCCCCTTAGATGCCGCCGATGTCGAGTCGCCGCTCAAGCCAGAGGAGCTGCAGGTTCTGCGCGCGCAGTACGAGAAGGAGGGCGAATACGTTGGTCTGCAGACGAAGTTCAACTACGCATGGGTACGGCTTCCCCGCGTCTTGTCACATTTGCACATGCGCACGGCACCACCCGCAACAAGCAAGCTCATGGTATTCTAGGGTCTGATCAAATCCACCTCTCGTCCCGACCAACAGGAAGGAGTGCGCCTCCTCTCAGAGATCTTCCGCAACTCGCGCGAGCGCCGGCGCGAATGCCTCTACTACCTCGCCCTCGGCAACTACAAGCTCGGCAACTATGCTGAAGCCCGACGGTACAACGAGCTGCTGCTGGAGTTGGAGCCCGCAAACCTCCAGGCCGGAAGCTTGAAGGGTCTCATCGACGAAAAGGTGGCAAAGGAGGGGCTTGTGGGCGCCGCTATTGTGGGAGGAATCGTGGTCGCGGCGGGCGTGGTGGGGAGCCTCTTGCTGAGGGGTGGCCCTCGAAGATCGTGAACGGGTGCCGTCGTCGCGAATCTATGACATGCGCAGCGTCGTTTGGATTACAGGTCATGCCAGGCCCGCAGTCATGTTGATGAGTACATGCATAGGCGTTTGTGGTTTCTATACCTTTGGCAGGGATCGTATGGTTAATAGCAATTTTTGATATCTGTAGTATACACAAAGCTCTCCTACCAAGCAAGCGATAGCAATGACCACCTTATCGCGCGACGTACTGTTGGACTGCTGCGGGCGACAGTCTTTGGCTGATGGAAGGCCTCAGAACTAGATGGAACACGGAAGAAGCAGGCAGAGACAACTGGTCGGACAAACGTAGAGTCAGAGCAAGACAATCAACCGTTGCCGCGTTCAAGAAGACGCGCAAGCGACTTTGCCCCCGTCTCCATTCCACATCTCTCCTCATACCTTCTTGACCCACGAGGCAAAGTGCTAGGTTAGCTTCGCCCAACTCGAGATACCGCGGGACAAATCGCTAGACCCCACCACCCCTGCACACCGAACAACGTCATTCCGGTGTCTGACAGCTTTCGCGCGAAACAACCTTGGAACTATCACCTTACGGGTAACTCGCCTCAGATCCTCCTTGACACCAAACCTCCCTGCTCTGGTCTCTCAGCAATTCACTGCAATACCCTGTACCTGTCTGCTGTCGCAGCTCGCCACCATCAACTGTACTGGCAACGGCGCGTGATAGGTCCTTGACTTGAATTGATCCTCTTCCGCGCCTGCTCCCGACACAAGGCCGTAAGTCGGCTCCCGTTGCTCGAACGTTACTTCCATGCTGACATACCTCACCCAGTCTCCTTGAACCTCGCCCTACTACCCTACGTCTTATTACACGCCTCACACCTGCGACCATGGACCAGTCGACCAACCAGGATGCGCAGTCAGGAAACCCGCGGCCCGGGCACCGCGACATGATGTTTTGCCACGAGTGCGCCGACGAGTGGTATCGAGACGAACACGGCCTCTCGTGTCCAGAATGCGGCTCCGACTTCACCGAGATTGTGAGTTTAGCCGCCAAATCCAGCCTTCAGCCCGTCAGACACGACGCGAAGCGGATATGCACCGAATTCCGCTGACACCGACTAGATCGAAGATAACAACGACCCAAGAGATGCTGCCCCCGGGATGTTTGGCCATGACGGCGACGACTCCGACTCCCTCCCTGATCTCGAGCATGCCCCACCACAATTAAACCCTCACCACAACCCATGGCAGACCGACGACCCGGAGGAGGGCGACATTAGCAATGTTAGATTCACAGAAACTGGCCCGGGAAGGTACAATCTGCAGGCTACCGTTACACGATCCGTATCGCCCCAGGGCGGCATGGCGGTGCCTGGGTCAATAGGAGGATTCATGGCCATGTTGAACGGGCTCACCGGGGCAGCAATGCGACCACAAGGGCAACAACCGGGTCAAGGGGAGGGACTGTACACTGGCACTGGACCAAGCACAGGGCCAAACCAGTCTGCTTTCCAGGAAGCTCAAAACCAGGGCCATGAAGGAGGGCCTCAGATCCGCGGAGGAAGCTTCACGTACCACGGTGGCGCTCGACTGTTCCCCGGCAATGGAAACCACCCAGGCCAGGCCGAGCCTGTGGATGAGATCACCAAGTAAGCAGGAGCGAACCACCATATTTGGAAGCCGCTAACAAACCAAACAGTGTCATGACTGGCCTCATGGCTGCCTTTGGAGCACCACCTCCTCGCGTCCACGCCCACAACCACCCACTCGGCGGCGCTGAGGGTACTTTCCGCGGCGAACACAACCATGGCGCTGGCGAGCAGTTCGCGGGTCACCCTATCCTACAACTATTCTCCTCTATGGGTATGATGGGCGGCCACGCTGGCAACATGGGAGATTTTGTCTACTCTCAAGAAGGCCTAGACCGCATCGTCTCCCAACTCATGGAGCAAACCTCGACGAGCAACGCGCCCGGTCCGGCAACACAAGCCGACATCGATAAACTCCCGCGTACCCACATCACCGAAGAGATGCTAGGCGACGAACACAAGGCTGAATGCAGTATATGCATGGACGAGGTCAACATCGGCGAGCAGGTGACGCTACTGCCATGCAAGCACTGGTTCCACCACCCATGTGTCTCCGCGTGGCTGCTCGAGCACGACACCTGTCCACATTGTCGAAAGGGTATTACCAAGGGTGGCGAGGGCCAGGCGAACAACCCTGCGTCTGCAGACTCACAGACGGATCGTACGTCCCAGATGCCGGGTTCCTTCACTCCTTCCGGCTCGGGCACGTTCAATGATCCCTACGTCGTTCCCGCAGGATCCCCACCCCCACCGTCCAACGGTCAAGGCAGCTCGTCTGATAACGCAAATGCAGGCTCGGGCAACGGTGGCATCAGTGACCGGATACGCAGGGGTCTGTTTGGATCTCCGCAATAGGGATAAAACCTTCTTGTCGGTAATATCAAGCTAATCTTCATGTATATGCCAGGGCGGGACCGGTTCAGAAGGAGTAGAGAGGTACTGCGCGAGGCAAGACAGGTCCGCCGTGAACTTCGCTCCGGTTCTGAGTCGACCGAGCTTTTATCACCGGAGATTATCCTCAGTGGCAGACCCAATACTGAAGGGGCCCGCCGTGTATCTTCCTTTCTTAGTCCACGGGCTCGGACGCAGCGGTCAACATCTGGAGGTGGCCCTGAGAATCCAAGCGAGTCCACTCCACAGACCACGTCTCCAGATGGCACTGCGCAACCGAGCGGGCCTTCGACGCGACGACACATACGGCGATCTGCTCGTTCAAGCACAAGGCGTCAACGGTCCGCTTGAGTTTGCGTTGGCGTCGGTACATGGGTTTAGTGGTGGGCATTGATGTGTTTTCTTCCCCACGCGTTTGCTCAGTGGATGCTGCATATATATAGTTTTCCTTATCCTCCTTAGACATCAGTGTGCATAGTCATGGCGTTAACGATTGGGGGATACATCCACGGATGGGAGTTTTCATAGTTCGCGAGCGTCAATACCATTGCTATCATGAGTTACCTGAGCCTAGAGAACCCGAGAACATTCCAGTATTGTCGTTCCTCACAGATCGCCCATGACTGCAATTGCCGTTGCCACTTTACAATCACATGTCAAATCAGAGAACCCTCCCAACCGGCGGTGTCGCCTCGACAACGCAGCCGGAAGACTTTTTCTGCCGTGATTTACGTCTTCACGCGCCACGATACGACGTTGATGCGAAGAGGCGGTGGAGCTTCACGCGCGAGTGCTGACCTGGCTAGCGCGCCGCCTTGTCAACGGGTGGGGTGCGGTTATGCAGGGCCAGTCCGTGAAATGACTAGGTTCTGGGGTGCAGTGGTTTTGCGGTGAAGAGACTGCACGACGCAAGGTGATGTGAATTGCACTCGAGCTAAGAGGGGAGGAGGTTGGGGAAACTACGATCACAGCCACTTTCGGGCTTTGAAGATGGCCTTCGGCGAGGTAGCCGGAGTTTGAGGATGGCAACGTGACGGTCCGAGAGAGGATTGGCGAGGCGAATGGACTGACTGGGCATGGCAAGAAATAATTCAGCGGACCCGATCGAACAACGCATCAACGCTTCGACCGCCCATCACGGAAAGGCCCTGCATGACAACTGCGCGCGCGTCCAGAGTGTCCTTGTCTCAGCAGAGTCGAGGCGACCAGTCGGCACGACACTTTGCCCCAACTCTGAGACGAAACGTTTTTGCAAAAGGAAAGACCGTGTTCCTGCAAGCCATTGGGGTTCGCATAACATCAGATCATGCCGAGTCACACGTCGACGCGCCCGTGACCGTGCGCGGAGCCCTACGCTGGAGCCCACGATCTCCGACGATGATGTGCTGGCTAAGGCTTATCGATTGCTCGCCCAACTTCCTGTAATCGAATGCCGAAGCTATGTGCGTCGTGATCGTGATACTACGTGCATGGCTGTGATTGGCACGAGGAGACGCGCTCCGGTGGGGGGGACACGTCGTGTGTTGAGGGCGTGGGCGGGTACAAAGGCTCGAGGACCTCATCAAACTGGTCGTCGACGAGCCAAAAGCAAGGACGTCGTCCTCAGCGACGTCGCATGGCTGGGTAGTCAGCACACGGGTTGTCGTCGAGGAAGCCCTGGCAGACCCTAGTCGAGGCGGTAAGAAGCAAAGTGGAGCCGCTTGGGAGCTTTGACAGCGCCGGCCTCGACGTCCATCTGCGTTGTGCTTGCATTAATGCCTGTCCAGCCTCGCCCATGCCAATTGTGCTACCGTGTCGCAGCGTTACATGACTGGCTCGTGCCTCCCCTCGAAGATGTATATACCTCGTAGCGGACGTCTAGCGCCCGACAATCCACCAGGCTTGCATGCAGGATCCAACGTGTTGTTGTGCTTGTACATAAGTAAAGCTCCATTTCGTTACCGTGCGGTGAGGAGACTTGACGGCCCGCCCAGATTCAGAAAGGGCAACAAAATTTTCAGCATACTTGATTGGACTGGCTCGCGCGGGAAACAGTGGCGCTTTCAACAGAGGGAACTGATAGCAGTAGAGCGTGAATCATGCCGAGCTGGGGCAGGAAAGAAAGCTATGAGTGAGTGCTACCCGTCACCTTCCCCTCTGCCTCCCCCTCCACCCCTCACCACTGCTCCCTCAATCTGAGGACATTACGATACACGCCTCTTTTCTTCTTGTTGCTTTTGGTAAGAGGCTCTCGCCCACGATAGCTCGCTATCGTGTGGTATACCCTAACATATTTTTTTTTCTTACACCACTGTTGGCCCGACCTATCTGCCATACATTGAATGCTTTGCGGCCATTGTCGTTCACCTACAAAGTCACCAGAGCCCCCACTAACACCGTCGCGCAGGGCCTCTTCGAGAGAGCAGAAGCAGATCCTCGCTGATATCAACACGGGATCTCAGAAATTCAGTAGACGGCTGCTACCACCACGAACGATAAGCAACAAGCGAAACGGGACGATCGACCCTCTACCTGCTCCGATTACTGGCGAAGCAAGCCAGCAAGAAGAGCGTCGAGGCCGGAAATCGACGAGCTCCCTGCGACCGGGACTCCCCAAGCGAACCAGCAGTATGAAGAGAGCGTACAACTATTTCTTCGGCGGACCTGCACCGGTACCGGCCACGGCCGAGCCAGCGACGCCCGCCGTGACAACCGACGCGACGCCGCCGAGCAAGGTCGAGTCGAGCACGCAGGACAATGGCGTCGACACGCCGCCCGAGACACCACGTGAGGCGCCCACACGGTTAAGTGAAGACGAAGCAGGTACGTGACGCTCACCGCGCACCACCCCCCACCCCCACCTGCCCAATCCATAACAATGCCAGCAGCATTCCCCCACTATCCGCTGTCCCTGCATTCGCGGGCGTCTCCCCTGCACCAGACTGTCCCCGCTCATCACATACTAACGCACCATGCCCCAACAGCAGACTCGCCCTCGCCGCCCTCACCACAGGCGTCCGACAGCCTCGAGACGCAGATCGAGAAGCTGAAGCGGAAGCTCAAGCACGCCGAAGCCGACCTCGACGAAGCCCAGCGCGTCGCCGCCACACAAGATGAGCACGTGCGCACGCTCGAGGACGACCACGAGGAGCGCAAGAAGGAGTTCGAGGCCCGCGAGCAGTCGCTGCAGCAGGACAAGAAGGACCTCGAGGAGCACATGGTCAGCGTCGTCGTCCAGCAGGTGCGCGAGGCCAAGGCCAAGGAGAGGAACACCGTCCGCGACGAGTGCGAGGCCGAGTTCAACGCAAAGATTGCCGACGTCAACAAGGAGGCCGAGGAGCTCCGTGCTACCGTCGCCGACCTTGAGAAGCAGATTGCCTCGTACAAGGAGGAGGTCGAGCAGCTCAAGGTTAAGCTCGACAGCGACAAGTCCGCCGGCGCCGAGTCGGTTGATAGGTCGGAAGTCGAGGCCAAGGAGACTGAGCTCGCCAGCGCCAAGTCGCAGTTGGAGGAGCTCACCGCTGAGAAGAGCAAGACTGAGAAGGACCTTGCCGACGCTCTTGCCACGATTGAGGACCTCAAGGCTCAGACTGTCGCCAAGGACGAACTTGACACTCTCGCCGCTGACCGCGATGCGCAAAAGACCAAGGTCGAGGAGCTTGCCGCCGAGGTTGCCGTTCTGCGAACACAGATCGATGAGTTGGAGGGTCTCAAGGCGAAGCACGCTGAGCTCGAGGCCGCCCACAGCAAGCTCTCCGATGAGCTCGCTGCCCGCGGTACCCAGGACGCTGACGCTGACAAGGCGTCGAAAGAAGAGGCTGATGGCCTTCGCAGCACCATTGCCGAGCTCCAGGCTTCCCTCAAGGAGGCCAAGGACACTCTCGACCAGAAGGCTGCTGAGCTCGACGCCAAGACCAAGGAGCACGCTGATGCCGCCGACCAAGTCACATCGCTTACCGAGTCCTCTAAGGGCGAGGTTGAGAGCTTGAAGGCTGAGATCGCCGAGCTCCAGGAGAAGCTGAAGACCGCCGACATGTCCAAGGGTGATGCTGATGAGCTCGCTCAGAAGGTGTCTTCCCTCGAGAACTCGTTGAAGGAGGCACAAGACGAGCTTGCGGCCAAGACATCTGAGCTTGAAGCTTCTTCATCCTCCCTCGCATCCGAGAAGGACGCCGCCGTCAAGGCTGCCGAAGAGGCCAAGAGCGAAGTCGACGCTCTCACCACCAAGATCTCCGAACTCGAAGCTTCCCTCAAGGAGTCGCAAGACAGCCTCTCCGCCAAGGACGCTGAGCTCGAGACCGCTAAGGGTGACGCATCCAAGGCTGTTGGCTCCGCAAAGGACGAGGTTGCCAGCCTCCAGAGCACCGTCAGCAAGCTTGAGGCCGAGATAGAATCCGCCAAGGGCTCCTCCGACGAGCAGACCACTGCTGCGAAGAAGGAAGCCGCTGAGGCTCGCGAGGCTGTCACCAAGCTTGAGGAGGAGCTGAAGGCCGCCAAGGACGAGTCTAGCAAGGCTTCTGAGGCTTCCAGCTCCAAGGTCACCGAACTCGAGACCTCGCTCAAGGAGGCCCAGGAGAGCCTTGCCGCCAAGGAGTCTGAACTTACCGCCGCCAAGGAGGAGGCTACCAAGGCTATTGAATCGTCCAAGGGTGATGCTGAGGGTCTGCACAAGACTATCGCCGACCTCGAGGCGTCGCTCAAGGAGGCCAAGGACAGCCTTTCGTCGAAGGAGTCTGAACTTGAGGCTGCCAAGGGTGAGACCACCAAGGCTACTGAGGACTCCAGCTCCAAGATCTCTGAGTTGGAGGCTAGCTTGAAGCAAGCTCAGGATGATCTCACCGCCCACAAGGCCGAGCTGGAGACCGCGAAGAGCGAAGGTGGCAAGGCTGCCGAGCTCGAAGCTTCTCTCAAGGAGGCAAAGGACGCCCTCGCATCCAAGGACTCTGAGTTGGAAGCCGCCAAGTCAGAAGCCAGCACTGCTACCG